TGAGATAAGACAGAGACAGGATGCGGAGGGCCTGCTTAGGGGGAGCGTAACCCATGTTATGGCTTCCATTTATTAAATAGTTCAGATAGGCTGGAAATGATAGGTTCATGGTGAGAAAATGTACCATATGGTGCCCGTTTACTTATCAAAATTAGATTCAAATCGTCAGGCCCTGCCCTGGAATAAGGGGATTGACGATGATTTGTCAAGTTTCATCTTGCATTTGCATATAATTGTAAGTTTAGGTTTGCTTTTGTAATTGTAAGATAGATAGTTTGCCTCAATTGAAACATTGAGTTGTATAAACTTGACGAATCATACCTCTAAAATAGTAGTAGTTACAGTGCCGCATTATCTAACAACCACTGCCAGCAACTAATGTTGGAGAGGTCGGCAGGGCTGATTACGGATCAAAACTAATATAACTCTAACACTGAAATGATCCCAAAACTAACGCTCATTCATTGCACTTTGAGTCATAAAGTAGTTTTATTTATTTTCCTACTAATCTATCTACACACTTAGTTTTTTCTACCGAGCTCGGCTGTGTGGGTCTCGGCGGGGAGGGGGTTTCGCTGAGATTTCGGCGGGAGTGACATTTGATTGCCGAGTCTCGGATAATGCCTTTTCTAATAATCTGCCTACGTTTCTTTTATTTGTTATCTACTTCATCCCTTTTTTATTTGTCTGCTTCTCTTCTTTTGTTTTGTTTGTTTACATATAACTAATACTAATACCTCCTTGTTTTCTCTCTAATTTGTCTACTATGTCCCACCATCACGATGAGAGATGAGCTACCGTACATGGTACACGCTCATATACACTCCCAAAATAGTATGCCGCAAGTAAGTATATCACAGAGGCAACTAAAGATCCAGAAACGAAAACCGATAATGCTGAAGATAATGAACTGTGGTCATTTATATGACTAAATAGTATTATTTATTTATACTAACCCAAATCCAAACGATCACTAACCAAAATAATAAACTTATCTTTTTTCAGCAGGTGTAATTTCGTTTAGTTCTGTTTCTCTCTTTTCAGCAAAACAACTACAAAAAAACCTCTATAACTCTTCTTCATTCTTTTAATCTCCTACTATCCCCTATAAATGTATCGGAAACTAGTGGGACTGTCTGTGTAAACAGAAACAGACCTGCTAGTGGAAGAAGGTCGTTATAACTCGCTTAACTCGTACTCGCACTCGCTTAACGGCAGATTGGTTTACAGTGGTCGACCAGGGTGTGTGCTGATAAATTACAAAATTACAATTACATCACTATTTCATACATCAGCTTGAATTGCGTTGATCGATGTTACATTTTTTTTTTGCTGTGCACTACACCAGCCAGCAAAGTTCAACAATCCATCGTTGCTTATGCCTTTGTTGTCGTTTGGAACCAGTTTTGCGAGGTAGGCGACGATTGTGCGTATTTCTCGCGTAACTTTTGAAAAGGGCCTATTTATAGCCTGAACAATACGTAAAGAGCAAATTGAAACATTGAACGTCGCGTGAAAGTGGAACTTAATGAAGGCCTAAGTACTTTTTCGTAGTTTTTAGTTTTCGGATTTGAGAGATCGTCGGTTACAGTGGCCTGCTTACTGAGCAGGAAAACGCGGTCCCAGGTCCTTACATATCAAAGAGATTTATGGTAAAATCGCTTGTGTATCGTGTATTTTGCGAAACTCGTTGTTGTCGTTAGTTCCGGGTTTGAATGGATACAAAAATTTGAGCAACGGTATTATGTGATATGAGGGGCTCGGTGGCCTTAGAGCAACCGTTTTTGCTTACTGAGCAGAACATCATGAGTCTAATCTCAGGCCCATCCACATTCAAGATTCGTCAATCGTTTTATTTGTTAATATGACTACATGGTAATAACAGCAACTCGGTGATTAAAAAGGTGCTCGTCTGCCTAGTGGCAAACGTTTTTGCTTACTGAGCAGAAGACCGTGGGTTTAGTCCCAAGCTCCTTCGCGTTATATGATCGTTAGGACATCAATTCAGCGTATCGTTTATCAAAACGAACCCTGCTGCAAACCCAACCCTCTTATCCAACATCCCAGTGATTTCTCGTGGAAGTGCAGAGGTGTTCTCGGCTTCCATCAAAGCGAGTGTCATGTCAACACAATCCTTCCCCTTCCTTTCTTGACCTGTGTTCGGGCGCGGCCGGCGCTGGTATTGCCTAATTTAAGATCACCAGTTTTTACACATTGAGGATGATTGCTAGTCCCAAGCATTATCTATTGGTTCTCTGTGTAATTACAGCTGATCTGGCAATAACAGAGTAGCAACCGTGGCGGTCAATCAAGCTCAAGCTCAAGCTCAAGCTTAAAACCCGGCTAAATATGTTAAACAATGCTATCATTATGAGATTATATGTGTTTAATTGGAAATAGGAATAACTTTTCGGTCATCAAAACAAAACTTTATTTTTCTCGGATCGGTGCGAATGTTACTTACGACATAATGAAAATTTGCTCTTGAGATAACCTTAGTTTCACGTACCCACTTGCAAATAGTAGATGTCGCCGAACGACGTAAACAAATGGATTGTCCTTCACCGCCGCAATGGTATTTCTCTATGGAAAACAAACTTTTTATTTCACCATGTGTGGATGTCAATCAACAGACAAGAATGCCATATGAAAAGAGCTAATTTATGATTTTCGTGGTGAAATGAAATAAATCCATACAAATTGAACCGAGTTTCATCTTCTTATACCATCGAATGGCAATAATAATACCATAGAGGTAACTCTAAGACTCTAGAAGGTCCCGAAGAAACGTGCTCAACTTTTTGGCTCAGCTCTGGTGCTATCTTCGATCCCAAGCTAATCGATGCACCCCTCGAAACATAGGAAAATCAACGAACACCTCATTTTTCTGTCAAACTTACACTGTACCAACCGGTGGAAACTAACGATTTAAAATTGGCTCACTACTTGACTTACCTATTGGTACCAAGCAAATCGATGAACGTACCCCATTCTAGTCGAAATTCTAGTACTACACAATGTTTGTTTTGATTCGCTATGAAAGTTTGACAGACAAAATGAGGGGTTTGTTGATTTTCCTATGTTTCGAAGGGTGCATCGATTAGCTTGGGACCCAAGAGAGTACCAGAGCTTAGCCAAAAAATTCAGCACGTTTCTTCGGGACCTTCTGGTCTTAGAGTTACCTCTATGTGACTACTGCCGAAGTAATCATGGCTCGGACACATGACAGGGATAGAGTCCCCCTGGAATTTTCACTTAAATTTGTTCCATTTGGTGCATTTTCACTTACATTTGACACTTCGAAAATAAATTATTATGTTCGAAAATCACTCTGTTGTTGATCGTCCGATTTTCGAAAAAGTGTTTGTCAAAATTGGTTCCTTGTCTGTCAGAAATAAGTCGGATAGAATAATAGATTTATTTGAAAGTTTTCCATCTGTCGAATTTAAGTAAAAATTCACCAAATGGAACCACAGCCTTAGGACCATCGTTGCCAGAATGTTTTAAAACTTATCGATATCAAAGGTTTAAATCGATGTTTATCTGTATTTACTACTTTAATTAATTTTATATTTTTGCCGTTTTTGAAAGCGAAAATTTTAACTTATGGACTATGATGGGAAAATTCCGGAAGAAAACTCCGGTGAATGTTTGAATTAGCTTCTGGAGGAAGCTGAAAACAACATACAGAGAAAGAAGAAATAAGCTCTCCTGGAGGAAATTTGAGGAAAGTTCTGAGAGAAGTCAGAAAAACATCCGCGGAATTGAGAAACTTCTGGCGAAAATTTAAAGAAAAATTTAATTCAGAAAAAAAAATCGAATTTCACATTCAAATACACTTAATTCAGATCACCGAAGTCGGTATGAATTTACCGGTTTTTTGAACAGTAGAACAACTCGGTAAAATTTTCAAATGACCGTTACACGTGAGAAGTCAAGAAAATTTATAAATTTTATTTTTCATCAATAAATGGGGTAAACTGAACAACTTCTGTACAAGTTCGGGATAAATTTTTTAATAATTGGATTTTTCGCTGATTTTTAAACATTTACCGAACAGTTCTGTAGTTCAAAATTTATCGAACGACGGAGGCCTGGATTAGTGTGAAGGAAGGCAGAAAAGTTTCGGAAATCGGAAATAAATTCCAGAAGCAGCCATTTCCAGGGGAAGCTAGAAGAAGCTCGCAAAAACCTTCCAATAGAAGTAAAAAAACCAACTGGACAAAATTCCAGAACTAGACGACAGAAATCTCTGGGAGAAGTTGATTAAGAAAACTGAAAGTCGATTATGAGAATCGATCAAAGCAGATAGGACCATTTGAAATGTTCATCGAGAACTTATCAAAATCTAACCCCCTTAAGTACTCATCTCCTAGGTAAAAAAGTCAATATCACAGGTATAAATTAAGTATCTGTCATGGATACCAAAATTAATTAAGTGGAATTAAATGGAAGATAACCCTTTTTTGTTGTTAAAAAAAAATCGATCTTCTAAATTGTCGAACCTATTAACGGAATGTCTTTAAAAGAGCTTTGAGTGCGTTGGTTTATTTCCAGGACCTAAAACCTCAAAAATCAGTATTCTGAGGAACCTTATCTGTATATTAGTATCTAGTTCGAAAATCGGTATAAATACCGATAAATCGATGTATCTGGCAACGCTGCTTAGGACGCCGAGTTCAACACAAATTTCCTGTGGTCCATTTGGTGAATTTTCACTTAAATTTGACACTTCGAAACTAAATTATAATGTTCGAAAATCCCTCTGTTGTTGATCGGCCAATTTTCGAGAAGGTGTGTGTCAAAATTGATTCTTTGTCTGTCAGATATAAGTCTGCTGGAATAGCAGGTTAATTTGGAAATTTTCCATCTGTCAAGTTTAAGTGAAAATTCGCCAAATGGAACACAGCCTTAGGATGATCTGAGTGCTGTGATATGTTCCAACTACAAAGAAGCTTCTCATCGAGAAGAAAAAAAAGCATAAAATATGTAGCTACTTTATTCTTAACACTTTGTTCATTAGCTAACCCTACTCGATTAAAATACAAAGTTCCACTGGTTCCGTTGAAAATTGCGCTCATTCATCCTTTTTGTATCGCATTTTCATCTGTGACTATTAAACACAATTAAACAGCTACCCATTTGATCGGCACCATTTGGTACGCAGCGTTTGAAATGAAATCAGCGCCTGCGACCAGTACCAGTACCTAGTAGTTAATGACCACATGGTCGCCTCTATCTCTCCAGCGGTGCAATGATTCGGGTTGGCATGAAATTGCTCGACTCGTCGCTGGAGCTCTCGTCCAGAATATCATCAATCTCGTCCCGTACCAGTTCGGCGTAGGACGGTTCATTGCCGACGTTGGCTTCTTCTGTTTGCACCCGATTGTAGTGCTGGTAATCGGCACCGCCGACGCCTCCACCAATGCCATTGCCCAGCAGGATACCCCGAAAGCAGCGCCTCCACAGCAGATAGATGACCACAAAGGCGACCAGCAGTGTCGCTCCGACGACGGTTATCATAATGAGGTAGTCGGTCGATTGCCAGCTCTTATCAAGCTTTTGGCTATCGGCCGGGTCGGATAATGTGGCATTAGGCGAGGATTTATTTGTTCCGCTCGGTCCACCGTGGCGTTGTTTTCCGTTGATGGAAACGCAACGTCGCCGGTGTGCCTCGAAGGGAGCCGGTGGATGCACATCGGCATCATTGTCGTCGACGAAGGCAAATAAAGGCTGACACTCGATGCAGTGGAATTCGTCCGGACCGACGCACTTGAGGCACGTTGGATGACACTGGTTGCACTGGCGCCGCTGATCATGAGGTTGAGTGTCACGTTCTTGTGGTGAGGGCACTGCCTGTAGCAGAATGTCGTCGTCCAAATTGTTGGAACCATCACCGTTGATGTCGGCCAATCGGAAACCGATAGCTGCAGCACTGCGTCGTAATGAACCTTTCGGCAGTGGTTGCTGCTCGATGATGGCACTTTCCGAATCGTCGATGTTTGGATTTCGGCTGGGGTCCGAGTCCGAGGGGAAGGTCGAGTCCGGACACGTACTGTAGCAGCGATCTTTGTACCAATAGGAAGATGGACCACAATCTGTAAGGGTGATAGGGGAAAGAGGGGAAAGATTTTCGCATTCGATTGAAAATTGTTAACCAGAGTTGTTAGCGGCCTTCGGGGATAGCGACGTGCTATGCTTTCCTGCAGTGGGAATGCGTCGTGATGACAGGTAGGGAGTAGATGAGCCAGCACCAGATGAAAGCAAATTTTAGGATAATGTTTACCTACGGTGATAGTGCAGATGATGTTAGTTCTACGCGAATTTAACCAAATTAATGTTTGGACATGCGATTAGGTTTGCATATACAAAGTAATCGATGAGCAAAGAATCACAATGGAGGCAGGCTTAAGAATAGACAGTATCACAATAACATTTTAGGTACGGAGTTTTGAAACAAGCTCCTATAATTTAAGTTTACTGCGGGAAATTGAAAAAAAAAACACTAGTTTGATGCTTATATAATTCAACCCAACCCAACATTTTCAGCTATGAATTATCAAATTTTAAGATTGAGCCACTATTTGAAATGTATGACTAACTACTTTCGAACGGAACAGACAAGGATCCGATTGGACTTGTGATTGGCCAGTCGGAAAGGGAAAACCCTGGAGGCGGCTCTGCGGAAATTCAATTCTTGAAAGTAGACCTAGAGATCCGCGACTTTTTCGAAATTCCATAAAATCATGAGTATATAGAGTGTCCCAGAAATTATAAGCACAATTTCAACTCGCTGCCATTTCTACCCCGCTGAAGTTTACTAGCTGTTCATCGATGTGTGTTGTTGTTTACTTATTGCTCAACAAGTTTGTGTGCACAAAGTGCATTGTTTCGACAAAAACATCAAAATGCAAGGCATTTTCCCGGAAAAGCGCAAACAGATCGTGCACAACCTGACAGTAAGGAAGTTGGTGAAAATGGAGGAAGTAAATATCGGAGCAGTTGAAATCGCCATCCAGAAGTTTGGTGAAGAAGTTACTTTCGAGGACACATCGAAATCTGTCCGCAAACCGGGACCGGTGGACCGAAAAGTGGACCATAAGATACCCAAGCTTTCGTCAGTAAGAAAAGTGCCTCTGTTCGAGATTTGATAACAAAAAAAAAACTGAGAGCATCGAAGAGTAACGTCCAACGTGCCAAGGCAATAATCGGGTTGAAAACGTTCAAGAAGCAGAAGAAGTCGAAACAAGTCGCATCCGTCAAACCGAGGGCTTGCAAGCTACCGTACGCGTGATAATTTTTGCACCATTGAGCAATGTCAAAATTAAAAAAAAAGTTCTCAAAAATTTCGTTTTCGAGTTTTTTTTTATTTCAATAAATGGGGGGATGGGGGGATATTTCTCAAAGTCTTAAACTATGTTAATCATCGATCGAGTTTCCACTTGCTGCAATTACGGCCTCCACACGCTTCCGGAATGCACGGCAGGTTCTAATAATGTAGTCTGGATCCATTTCTCTCCAGGTACGGGTCAATGTTTGTCTGAGGCTTGCTGTGCTCGGGTGGCGTTTAGAACAGGCCTTGGGCTTCATGACGCGCCATATTGAGTAATCCAGTGGATTAAGATCGGGGCTGGATGGCGGCCACATATCCTTCGCCCAGAACGGAAGATGTTCCTGCAACCACCTCTAAGTGCGGTTCGAGGTGTGGCACGGAGCCCCTTCTTCTTCTTCTTCTTCTTCTTCTTCGCATTTCAAGCTTATTGCATATCGCATATTAGCTTATTGCGTGCTCTCAACTTAGTGTTCTAGATGCACTTCCACAGTTATTAATTGAGAGCTTTCGATGCCTGTACCATTTTTGCATTGGTATAATTGTGTGGCAAGTCCAATCATACTTCTATACCCAGGGAAGTCGAGAAATTTTCCAACCCGAAAAATTCCTAGACCGGACCGGGAATTGAACCCAGCCACCTCCAACATGGTCTTGCTTTGTAGCTGCGCCTTTATCGACTGAGCTAAGGGAGGCCCCATCTTGTTGAAATACAACATTTGGCTTCGGACCGTACTGTTCTTTGATCCACGGAAGAACATACTTACCTAAAATCCCGATGCAGACCTCCTTGTTGACTTTGTCGCCTTCTGGAATGAACACCGGGTTCATTTTTTTGTCATCGGAAGCCACCAATCCAAACACCATAACGCTAGCAGGATGCTTGGTCAGATACACGTTCTTGTAAACATGCTCTCGTCGGTGAACAGGATTACCGGATTTTTTCGCTTAAGGAAGTTCAAGATTTTCTTGCATCATTCGACTCGTAGCTCCCGGATGCGGTTGGTAATCATGTGAGTTTTTTTTGTCCGTGCCCTCGACTTTGCCCCGCAATCTTCCTTTACGATCTTCCGTGCCGTAAAGTTACTGATCCCGTGTTCCTTTGCCATTTTCCTTATTGAACGCACTGGATTCACCCGAATCTTCCTTTTGATAGCAGCGATAACCCTCGGAACCCAAGCTGACCTCGGAAGACCTGTGGCCACCTTCGCGGATAGTTGTCCTTTCTTTTCTCGGTTTAAAACCCTTTTGACGGTCCACCGCGACACTCCCACGGCGATTGAAATGTCTTTTTGCGACATTTGCGCGTGGGACAAATCACGAATGGTTCAACTGTCAAACTAAGTAAATCATTTTCTTTTATCACAGCCTACTACGGTATGAACTATTGGTTACGTACATGCAAAGAAACGCGGCATTGTATGCACAGGTGAAACGGGAACCTTATTTGTACGATGGTGCAAACATTATCACGCATACGGTATATGATAGCCTGCTGTATGGAAAATTGGCTTGTGTCAGATTTGACTACAAGACGCTTCAGCGGGACCCACAAAGCTGCTTCACCGTCGCGGCAGTGTTAAATTTGACTCTGATCAAAATTGATGGACTGACGCAGCGTCAATGTGAAGTCGCCAAGTAAAGATTTCGGTGGAAAAGCAACTTGACATGCGTTACACCAGTCATTTGACGGACGAACCCCTTCGCCAATGCTGACGGTGACGTAGTATTGTGGGTCCCGCTTTCCGGGAGACCAATACAACACAGTCCGTAATGGTCAGGAAGTTGACGATGCCGATAAGTCAATTTTTACCGAAAAATTTGGTAAGAAGGCCATGGTTTGGCAAGCGACATGTGAGTGCCCCATGATCCGTCAATTCAATCGAAGAATTAAAAAAAAAGACTGGACCAAAGTGGCCAAAATTATCGCCATGGAATCTTTGCTGAAGCTCATGGGCAGTGTCAGATCAAAAGTTCGCTCCTTGGAATACGATTAAGGGAAGTGCAGATTATTTTCATATAATTGAAAGAAAATACTACAGAGATCATATAGGAGAAATATCTCTAATGTTGGCCTATGAATCTAATATTGGGCCCATCGCTAAAAATCTGCTATTTATCAATTTTATCTAGGTGAACGCATCATTGGGAGGGTACTGATGAATATTTTTGGTTGCTATTGAAAATTTAGTCGATTGCTGTCGAATTTAAGTATGAGCCCAAATTAGTGGCATTTAGGCCGACATTACATCCATTTACCCTATATGAAACAAAAATTTGAGTTCATTAACATAACGTTATTTTATTCCAATACTAAACTGTGCTTATACTTTCTGGGACATCCTATAGAGGAAAAATACCATCATCATATCGATTCTTCTTTTTCATTTTTAAGTCATTAAGAACTTTGGGCGTATTGTCACCTCACCTGTGAGAGAGAGAGAGAGAGAGAGTCACGAGACTCGCATAATAAGAGTGACTTCCAGGGTGTATGAGGTGAAGTGACGCGCCGTCACTAGTACAATTGTCACCTCGCGTGACGAGACTCTCCATTTGGTTGGCACGGGCAGGCCACTTGTGAAGTGATAATTGTCACCTCGGGTGAGGTGACTCTCCGTGCAAATCATATGGAACCTCACCCGAGTTCTCGGTCAAGAAGCTCTCGCAGGCTGGAATCAACGTGTTATTCACAACTCGTGGAGGTCAAGATCGTGCGGAATTCTAGAAGGATGGAGAACTGATCGGTGTAGCGTATCTGAGTGGAAATTTGTACCAGCTGGAATAGGCCCCCTTATTCTGCGAGTCACGTGACTCTCTGTAACCCGTGAGGTGACAATTGTCACCTCGTGTGAGGTGACTCTCCATTTGATTTGCACGGAGAGTCACCTCACACGAAGTGACAATTGTCACCTCACCGGTTTTTGCGATACGTGTTTGAGGGACAAGCAGTGTCGGGAACCATTTGACGGTTTCAGAGAACGTGCCACACGTCCGTTGGGGCGAGTTCATTCGGATGTGTGTGGCCCCATTAGCTGAACGTTTCAACGGTAAAATCAATATTGATTGACTCGCAGGCTTCCGAAGACCATGTGGTCAGAAGCGGCTCTAACTGCAACGTACCTCTTGAACCGTTGGCATTGGCTGGACATGTAACCCCGACCGAGAAATGGATGACCTTAACAAGATAAGGATATTTGGGTGTAAGCCTATGGCATGGATCCCCAGCCAGCAGAGGAAAAAGTTGAACCGCTCCACATGGATACCGGCTCTGACACAGAGAATTGAATCCTACGAAGAGATCGAAAGGACGTGACAATCGGAATCACTGGCTGGCAGCTGTCCATGATGAACTGGAATCGATGATAAGTAACCAGGAGTGGGGGCTGGTAAAGCGTCCGATAGGAGTGAAACCTTTGCAACCACCAAAGTGGATATTCTGCGTTAAGGAAGATGCTGACGAAAATATTGTAGGACATAAGGTTAGGTTGGTCGTGAAAGGGTTTCTCCAGAAACCTTGCCTCGATTATCCGAAACCTATGTAAAGGGTGTCCACGATGAAATTGCCACACACAAAATTGATTCGCAAAATTCGAGTTTTCATCCGATTGCCATCAAATTTTCAGGGATTGAGAAATAACTATTAAACTTCATTTTACCATTTTACTCGTATTTTATTTACAGTCCATACGCAAATGCCCGCACCTTGGCCTTAACCCCGGCCATAAGATTCTGCACAACCTGTGAATCAACCGTTTTTTGCATGTAAAC